GGTCCAGCTTTCCCATGCGTTTAAGTGGAGGCCTATGGCTTGGGTCAGGTACGCTTCCATCCTCAATGTGTGATAGCCACTTTTTAACGCTTTAAAGAGGTCTTTTGCGGCAGATTTGCTTAATGTACTGCGTGGTTTGATTTCTTTGCTGCATTGATCGTGGGTTGAAGTAAAATGCATCTTTGGCAACATCTGTGTGTTTGTGTTTTTTTATGATACTGCTTAATGAGCCAGTCATGAGGATTTTGATTTTCTTTATCTTGAGGTGAAATTCATGGTGAAGGCTTCAAATAAATGCAAAGCAAGATATTGTCATCTGCCGATCTCTGGCGGTTAATGTGGCTTCCTCCCATCTTGATTCTACAGAGTCTAGCTTTCATAGCATTTGCTCAGGATACCGATTGAATAAGTATGATGAAAGGATATAACCTTTACTCTTTCTATGTGTATTGCAATGTTCACATTTTGAGTCTTTAAAAAAATCAATATGAGTATTTAGCTGCTTAATTAGTAACATAGTTTCCCATTACATAGTAGGCTTATATTCTGATGTGCAAAAGAGGAGCCCATTTCATTTAATAACCCAATTACATCCTTTTTAGGAGGTAAGAAGGAATATATATAATAAGGATACTTCTAAGCGCCCTAAGTCTGGCGCCATTGTTACCCTCTGCAGTACCAGCTTCCTGTTCAGGAGGATCCACCCTGAACTTCCTCAGCTCATCTCCACTTGTGGAGACACACAGCCAGACAGTTCTTTCTTGTCATTGGTGGGTTTTCTGGTGGTTCTTGCATCTTTGTTAGTCACATGGTGTGGTCATGGGTTAGAGCTATTGTTTGTTTCTTCTCTTCCTTTTAACAAGATTGAGACCACCCCCCACCTTGGTTTCTGTGTATAAACAGAAGACTCAGATTTGTGGAAAAACTGGCAGCAGGAATTCCTGGCAATATGGTAGATTAGAATAATTTAAGGAACAAAAGGCTTACACTATAGATACAAAAGGGGGCCAGGGAAGGGGGAGAACTTCCTAATTGCATAAATGAGTTGTCAAAAGGAGAAAAGTATTTTTGTGCAAATATCACACATTATGCAAACTGAAACTCCCTCATTAATTTTCTTATGAGAATTGTGCATGTTCATGTGCATGCTATGTATGTGGGTGTGTTATATGCAAAAACGATGGTAATGCTCAGAGACAAAAGGAAGCACTCGTTAGAAAAGCTTAGAATTCATTTTACAGTAGTCCTGAGTTGACGATGCCTCTAGACACCAGGCAGAAACAAGTCCAGATCCTTTCAGGGGAAGTGGCCTTTAAGACTAGCCTCAAAGAGTTCCCACAAGTATTCTAAAACACAGACGCTTCGAATCCAAAACCACAAAGAAAATTTCCACCATGAGTGAGAAAAGACAAATTAGAGACTCAAATTGCAAAAACTACAGAAATTTGAGAGTAACAGTAGAAATTAGAAATAACAGTAGAAATGGAATGTATGGTCAGGGAAT